ATGCTAGCTTGGCTGCTTATTTCGTGGCCGTGGACAAGCTATTTAACCCTCTGGTTCTCAGTTTCTCCATAATGATAGTAAGTGACTGCAAGGTTATTGACTGAGGTCTGAGGAGATAAGTCATGTGAAGTTTAACACCATCCCTGGCACCTAATAAGGGCAAAAGTGATAACTGTTATTATGAGTACGTATATTGAAAAAGACCTCTAGGCAATGCTTACTGACATTAAATATTTTGTGGACTATTTACTTTGTAAAAGATAAATTTAAAATTCTGTTTCAATATGCGATAAAACTAATGGTTTCCTAATTTCCTAATTACAGTTACCTAAGGTTTCTCTGTTGCTTTATAATCTTTCGCTTTTCTGTGTCCTCAGACAAAACTAACAGCAAGAGACTTGGAAAAATTTTGTAATAAATATTCAGAACTATCTCTCATAAATCATGGTATCTAGCAATGGAAGAATTGGTTAACTGAGTATATTCTACTTTGAAATATTTTGTGTATTGTTACTAGAACAGACTCTCTGGTTCCTATCCTAGCTGTTGCTTTCCTTTATTCTTATGTATTTTTTAATATATTTTTTAAAATATCTTATTTTTAAGTAATCTCTACACCCAACTTGGGACTTGAACCCACAACCCCAAGATCAAGTGTTATGTGCTCCACCGACAAAGCCAGTCCCATGCCCCTATTCTCTAATATCTTTATGCCTTTTGTCCTGCCCCTTGCTTTCTCTCCTTGGTTGACCAAGTGCCTACTTTCTCTATTTTTTTCTGTTTCCTCATCTCTCTCTGGTGTAACTTCTTCTCATTCATCTTGTAAGCAGAATTACTCCACACAGCAAAAGTCAGAGCTGAGAGAATTGACTTGGAATGCTGTTGAATTTCACAGCAGCTTATTCAGGGTTGGTATTGATAAATGCACATACAGACCTTATGCCTAAATAGATCTCAGAATGCCAGACCAAAAGGAGAACAGCAAAGGTAAAAAAACAAACAAAACAAAACAAAAAACAGACTCTTACTAGTTCATTTTGGTATAAATTATGGTAAACAGTGTTATCCTAATGGCAATGTAAAAATGAGAAAGTCAGTAGAAAATTATGTAATTGTAGGATAGAATAATGGGATACATTATAAGCTGGAGTATGGAGGAGAACTGAGAGAAATGCTGACTTTGTGTTCTTCCTTCAACTATGATCTAAAAGAAACAGGTGATGCGTTGGTATCACCTCCCATGAATTCCTTTCTAAAAGCCAGAATCCCTTTTTAGTGGTGGAAATATGAACTCTGGGCAGTAGAATTCTTGGGTTTAAATCCAGGCTCCACAATTATAAGCTGAGTGTCCCTGGACAATTTAGTTCGTGTCCCTGTGCCTCAGTTTCCTTATTTAGGAAATACAGATAATAATAGCACACACTTCAGGGGTGCTTAGGAGGATCAAACGGGAATAACACACAGAAAGCACTTAGAAAAGTACCACCTTGAAGTAAACTCTCAATTATCTATTGCTATTGGTGTTATAATTTGTGGTATTTTTTATTTGCTAAGCTTGAAATTCTTGGTGGTATCCTGACAGGGAAGAAGGTGTCCAGGGAATTTCTGGGCACACCAATTTGCTCATACTGTGAGAATTTGCATGGTAGTTATTTTTCTTTCTGGGAAGCAAGGTTCCCTGTCTGGCGGCTTTTCACCCCTTTATTCAGTTAAGTGCACTATGATTTGATCATTTCTAGTATATCTTGGGATATTTTTGGATTTATAAATTAATTCATTGCTAATCTGCCTGTGACTACATATTAAGAAACCAGAGATATATTCAGCATGTACGAAAACCCTCTCTTAACAGAACGTGCATCTCTATTCTGGAAATATCTATTTGGTCCAGTGCATCTTTCCTTCTTTCTCATGACCAACATTCTGCTTTTTTTGTTATTCAGCATATGTGAATTGACTAATAGTAAATCTGGGAATTTGTCATTTAAAATATTGTAGGTCTCAAAAACAGCCAGTAAGGCTCAAAAAAGTAGAGAGATGTTTAAATCCCTTTGGCAAAAGTGTAGGAAAGCAAGGTAAAGGGCATCATTTTTCAAAAAGTATTCTCAGACAAATCATTCTCTGAGAGACTTAAAATAACATCAGTCATGCCAGGCACACCCTTTTACTTCTATTCCATTTTTATCATATCAATCTCCCTTGAAAATTGAGGTTGTTCATAAATATTTTCCTTCCAAACTGTGGGAAGTAAGTCATGAGTAACTTTGGCTCTTTGATAAAGTTAGGTTAGGGGACTGCTTATCATTGAAACAATGAACACAAAAGCATTTCAGTCCTGGGGCCTCTGACAAAACTCCTCAATACCCAGGCAGTGCTCACGCTCCTTGTTCTCAGGCATTCCAGGGGAGTGGCCACAGGACAGGCCGCACAAGGAATTTTCAAGGTCCCTTTTCCCACCCTTCAGAGTTGATAAGTCTCTGATCCTTTAGAAAAGGATTTGTTCTGCAAGAACCCAAAGTATCCCAAAGAACTATGTTTACCCATAACGAGCCTTGCTTTCCGTTTAATATAGCCAGAAGGACACTGCTTTTTGGACTCGTGGTCACATCCCCACAGATTTGACCTCATTTGGTGGACACTATTAAAAGATTATCCTATTATTGAGAATTTCCATTGCATCACATACTAAATATTAGTAACATTCCTCTATGGGGAAAGTGATGTAATAAGAGGGCATAGACTGAGTTGACCTCAGGCAAATTATATGGGTAGGTATGTGGACATTATGCAACTGATCTGCTGACTAATAAAGCCCAATGGTACTGGGAATAATGCTCTGGGGGCAGAAACTTTCCTAATAGCTCTCGAAGGAGGTGAAGCCATAGATGGAATTTTTCTTTGACTCTGTTGCCTTGGTACTGTGATTGTTGTTTTGCAAAATGCCAAGGAGGAGAAAGTGTAGATAGGAAGTGTGGCAGAACAATGAAATAATGGAATGGGAAGGGGGCCTTGAGGTGGCTTGCTCATACTTTGACTGGTGGGGAACATAGGTTTCTTTTTTTTCTACTTTAGAAGCCAAATGATGCTCATAAGGAATTAAAACTGCAGTTGACGGGCTGCAGGTGATTTAAGAATGAAGATATTAAGAAACAGTTATAACAATGATTTTTTTTTTTTTAATGTTGCCAGAGAAGGTGTTGAAAGAGCACCTAAGGAAGAAGATTCCAGTTAAAAAGGACTGAGCCTGGGTGGCTCAGTCGTTAAGCGTCTGCTTTCGCCTCAGGTCATGATCCCAGGGTCCTGGGATTGAGCCCCACATCGGGCTCCCTGCTTGGCGGGAAGCCTGCTTCTCCCTCTCCCACTCCCATTGCTTGTGTTCTCTCTCTCGCTGTGTCTCTTTCTGTCAAATAAATAAAATCTTAAAAAAAAAAAAAAGGAATGGGAAGACCCATTAGGGGCCCAGTAATTTGGCAAACTAGTTAAAATTAAACTTTTAGTTAAAACTTTGCTTAAACAGACTTTACAAACAATTGATTACATTTTAATTGTTAAAAAAATAAATTACAAAAGTAGTACATGATCAATGAAAGAATGCCAAGCAATATAAATACATGCAAAATAAAAAGTGAACATCTACCTCCTTCTTTCCCTTACGGGGTAAATACTGCTCTGATCTATCTTTCGGGCCTTTTAGACCACTGTTTATATTTAAATGTGTTTTGGGGCAGGTGTTATTACTATACGTATTGTTCTGCAATTTTTTAAATTTAATATATTATGTACATTTTTCTACTCTTAAGAAATAGACATTATTTGTATTCTTTTTAATGGGCAATAGTTATTTTTATTTTATTTTTTTTAAAGATTTTATTTACTTATCTGACAGAGAGAGACACAACGAGAGAGGCAACACAAGTAGGGGGAGCAGGAAAGGGAGAAGCAGGCTTTCCGCTGAGCAGAGAGCCCGATGTGGGGCTCAATCCCAAGACCCTGGGATCACGACCTGAGCTGAAGGCAGATGCTTAACAACTGAGCCACCCAGGCGCACCGGGCAATAGTTATTTTAAATAAAGTGAAATGGAAAACAAGGCCCCTTGGCAATTCTGAAAGTTAAGAAAATTCTATATTTGATGTATTTAAAATATTTTTCTTGATGTGATATAATTATCAACATGTTTGATAAGTTGCTTGTAAATCATCCCCCACTAAATGGCATTCCACCTACCAGGATAAGATAGGAAAAGATAAGACATGCTACAGGTTATAAAAGCAGATTTCATGAGAGTACGTATGGTATAATTCCAATTCTGTAAAAGGTATGTACATGTGTAGAAAGCAGTCTAGCAGCCTAGGCACTAAAATGCTAACAGCTCTCATCACAGGATGGTTTAAATGTAGGTCTTTTTTTTTTTTTCCTGATGCGGTTTTCTGTATTTTCTTCTTCTTTTTTTTTTAAGATTTATTTATTTATTTTAGAGAGAGCAAGCACAAGTGGGAGGGGCAGAGGGAGAGGGAGAGAGAATCTCAAGCAGACTCTCTGATAAACATGGAGCCTGATGTGGGGCTCAATCTCACTACCCTTAGATCACGACCTGGCTGAAACCAAGAGTCAGATGCCTAACCAGCTGTGCCACCCAGGTGCCCTGGTTTTCTGTATTTTCAACAGTGAACTTTCATTGCTTTTTAACAAGTAAATGTAGTATAAAATGCACTTCATCTGATAAAAGTTCATGTCCAAAGGCTACAGAAACTAATCCCATCTGAATTAGCTTCCATGCTATCCCCACACCCCAGAGTAAAAGAGTAGAAATACCAGGCCCTTCTTTCATTTTCTTAATTTAAGGAATTAGGTTTGAGTTCCCTCGTTAAGACAAAGTAATCTTTAGGAGAGTTGACCAGGAAATGAGACAAAAATCAGGAAATCATATTCCTTTATTACATATATGAAATATAAAAAATTAACAGAGCAATATATATATATATATTTTGCAAGTCCACAGGACCTCAGGAAAAAAAATATGTTCTGTATGTGAAGTTAATCTTATGACACTGTGGTTTATGTTTTGTATATTCAAGTACAGAAGAAACTGTATGTATTGTGGTTGTGCTTGGGTACAGAATATGAGTAATAATGAAAACTGTAGTTTGGTGAACTATCACATACACTGTGTCAAAAAAATGAGTAAGTATAATGGCCATATAGTGTTAATAAAGATAAGGAGGAAACTGTTCCAACATTCAGGTTTAAATACTAAACAGAAAAATAAAACAAATTCTGTGTCTACAATAATTTCTGCCGTGTATACAAGTGCATTGCAAATAAATGAGCTTTTAAAAATTTAAAGTCCATTTCCTTTTCATCCAAGCATATTTCTACTCTTAAGATTTCTTCTTCCTCTTATTTTAAAGTCTCATTTTGTTTAGTTTTTAAAAAAATTTTTCATCATGGCTGGTATCTGTGGAATCTAACCTCTAGCCTGAAGCTGAGACTTCATATGCAAACATGTTCTCCTTTTGGGTTTTTTCCAAGTGTTCAGAGCTAACACGTACAACTTCCTTTTGTCCACACGTAGTGACAGTGCTTCTGTTTCAGTAGGTTTTCTTACACGCCCTTTATTTTTCTTTCTGTCAACCATGGTCTTCCAACTTTCCCAACACAAGTGGTAGGTAGTAAAGTGCTTTATACAAGGAAATAGTATATACATGTGGAGAGATTCCATTTAACACTCCATAGACCAAAGTTCACACACATCACACAAAGGCAGGCTCTTTTTTAAGAAAAACCTTTTTTTGATAGTAGGGTTGGGGAGTCCTTAAAATCTCCTTAATTACTTTAAGTAGCACAAATAGAAGTAACATATCTGAAGCTGGAAGGAGTCCTTGTTAGATGTACTCCTCTTAATGCATTACTGCTAAATATCATACTGCTATTAAAAATACTCTGAATAGTTATGAATTACAGAATCAGTCCCATAGGAGGCAGTTATCAGTGTAGGATTTTTCATTTGTCTTTATAAAACAAACTGTATTTAAACATGGCCCCCAAAGAGACAGGTTAGACTAGGCCCATGCATTGGAATATTTCTATATATTTTGGCACTTAAAAAATTCCAGTTTTGTTTTTGAGGTCTCCTTTCCATTAAGCTTGTGTTTTCTACATAGAGAAGTGTCATTATGTGCTATATACCTTTGTTGCTACTTGCACTTTCTTTTTAAAATATCCATGACTTTTCTTCCAAGGGCTGGCTTCCAGTGCTGGACAAAACTTTTCATATTCACGACTAGTTTGCCTGTTCTTACATCTTCATGTCCTGCCACAAGGTACTCCAAACCTAAAAGAGAACAAAGTTAGGGGCTCTATAGTATCATAATGTATTGAAGTGGGGGAGGAGATGTGACTTCAGTGGTTTTATATGCACGGTTCATGGTTTTATATATTCATAGTTGAAATAGGGAGTCCCAGGCAGTGATAGCTGGTACTTAATAAGCATTTACTATGTGTTAAGTGGCTTACATACTTAATAAGCATTTACTATGTGTTAAGTGGCTTATTATTTCATTTAATCTTGAAAATAACCCTATGAAGTAGGTATTTTTTTTCTTGTTTTACAAATAAGGAAACTAAGGCTCAGCAAGATTACAAAACTTGTTCAGTGTCTCCCAGTGAATAGTAGCACTCTGACTCAAGCTCAGGTCTGTCTAGCTGTAGAATTTTTACTTTATGTTATACTACCTTCTAGGGTAAAGAAGTAAGGATCCTGTGGGTACTTAGCATACTGCTATAAATTAGTATTTCTTGGAGACTCACTATGTATGGTAGTGCATATTAAGGAGGATTTTTATAAAAGTGAGACAACCATTTGGAAAAACATACTGGAAGAGAGTTTTGAGTTGCTGGAGTGCTGGGGGGTGGGAAGGATGGGGTGGCTGGGTGATAGACATTGGGAAGGGTATGTGCTATGGTGAGTGCTGTGAATTGTGTAAGACTGTTGAATCACAGACCTGTACCTCTGAAACAAGTAATACATTATATGTTAAAAAAAAAAAAAAGAAGATAGCAGGAAGGGAAAAATGAAGGGGGGGAAATTGGAGGGGGAGATGAACCATGAGAGACTATGGACTCTGAGACACAAACTGAGGGTTCTAGAGGGGAGGGGGGTGGGGGGATGGGTTAGCCTGGTGATGGGTATTAAAGAGGGCACGTACTGAATGGAGCACTGGGTGTTATACGCAAACAATGAATCATGGAACACTACATCAAAAACTAATGATGTAATGTATGGTGATTAACATAATATAATAAAAAAGTGAGATAAGAGGAGAAAAAAAAGGAGTTATGAATGATACAAAGTGACACATATCTCCTATAGAAAGTAAATGTGTTTTTGGAATATAGGATGTTTGTTTGTCATCTTAAAAAAAAAAAAAAAGATGAGACTTCACCAGACCTTTGTAACTCAAAATTCATTTCAGGCTTCAAATAAAAAATTTTGGTTGACATACAGAAATGAAAGGACAGTCTCATTACCTATACATCAAAAAAGGAAATATGTTAATCTCCTTCAGTAGGTGTTTGTAATACTATCAATATTGGTATTTTGAAACAGTTTTCTTTAATATTATAGGACAGAGCAAATAAGTAATTATGTTTATAAAAGAGAACTTTCCAAGATAAAGAGACATATATTTTAAAACTTAAGAAAAAATAATAGATGTTAAAATTAACCTGAAAATATCAATTTAAACTCATGGGTTTATATGTATATATATAAATATATATTAATAAAATAAAAATAAAACATATTACTATATTATATATATTTTTTGTTCATCCACTGAAATGATCTAAAAAAAAAAAGGCTCCAGTAGCAATGAACACCTATAGTAGACATACTGTGCTCTCTAATTAAACAGATCTCACTAAAAACAAAACAAAACAAAACAAAGAAAACAAGGCTTCTTGCAGAAATGCTGTTGCAGGTCCAGGACAGGAAGATACAATGTAGCATGGGATATCTTATTGTGCTAAAAATCGAGGAAGCTCTCAAAGATTAATGGGGATCATTGTAAAAGGACATGGGAGCTAGCAAGAAAGGGTTACAACTTGTTAAAGTTGTGATAATTTGAGCACCAAGGAACATAATGATTGTATCTATTGAAACATACGGAATCAACAAAAATCCATAATTCCAAAATGATACTCAAAAAAGAAAAATCCAGAAAAAAATTGGTTTGTCATCTTTTGAAGCAGCTGTTAAGACCATTACTTACTTTGCAAGGTAAGCACTTTGGGAGTTATAAGGAAAGAATTTAGCATTTACCCTGTGTTTAAATAGGAACTATATTGAATGGTAATCTATAGCCCAGATTGAAAGAGAAAATCCCCTTACAGAAGAATGTCAACTAGTAAATGAGGGGAATCAGAAAAACATCATTTCTCAAGCTCTAATGAAATTATTGATTCAGGAAGGATTACCAGTTGGTGGTAACATCATCAAATCAATGGTCAATGGGAAACTGGATATTTGTATCATGACTAAATAACATCACACTCATTACTTTCTAATCTCAAAAGGGAAAACAAAACTGCCCAATGGAGAGATCAGGCTGTCATCACTCTAACCCAAGTGTCAAGTTTAGCAACCCTGATGGTGGGTTATCCAGGTCTTATGTGTCTTCTGATATGATTTAACATAAAGTACATACCCAGCAATATCTCTAGTGCATTCTAATCAAAATGTTTATCTTGACTCTATCAAGATTTTTTTAGAGATTACAAGAAACATGGGAGGTAGAGGGACAAGCCAAATGACATGACAAGGAACCAACCAGTCAAATACAGAAGGTAAGATAATCTACAGGACACTTGGCCTGGATTCTTCAACACTAATTATTTCTTCAACAACAATTAAAAAAGGAACTGTGCTTGAGTAAAAGAGACTTGAGAGTCTTAAAAACTAGATACAATGTGTGATCCTGGATTGAACACTGACAAGGACAAACCAGTTCTAAAGGACATTTTGGGACCAGTTACGAAATTGGAATACAGTGTGAGTATTAGAGTATATGAGAATAAACTATAATTGAAGGCAATGATCACTAACTAAATAAAGTAGGTTACAGAATAGAGCATACTATGATTTTATTTTGGTTAAAAAATATAATACGTACATGCACAGAGAAAGACCTTGAAAGATTTGCATTAAGCTGTCAACAGAGAGGATCTCTGGAGGTAAGAAATTGAAATTTTAAATTTTCCTCTAAATTTTTTTAATGTATATGTGATAGCTTCTATAATAAGGGAGTTATTTAAAATATTAGTAAAAGAAATCAGCCCTAAACTTAAACATAGCTATGATGGTGTTTTCAAAAAAAAAAGAGAGAGAGAAAGGGATAATAATGATAGAGACTTTAACACCAGAGAGCACAAATGAAAGAAGGGTTATAAGGTATTTAAATTATTTAAAGAGTAACCTTAGCATCTGCATGAAAAAGAATCCCAATATTTAATTAATGGACTAATTAAAATATAATGGTCTTGATATTGTTTGTATTATACCTAAAGTAATAAAATCCTCATATAAAAATACAATAAATAATTTTTAGGAAACTTCATTGTTAAGTTTAGTATTTTAAATGAATTTACTTTGAAACTATCAAGAGAACAAATACTATAGGAGTTTGCCATTAATTTAAAGTATGAATATACATTGAACTGATAGAAATTATACTGAATAAATCCATTAATTATGGAGCAGCATCATGCCAAAAATTAGCATGGAAAATAACATTATCTGTTGTATCACTTACTAGCATTTACTTTTTACTTTCTTATTTTTTGCTTTCAACATCTACTTTACTACCTGTTTGAGGGCACAAAGTTTATTTTGTTTCCATAGAGAAAGAAAATATAATACTTTAGTGCTAGTCTTGATATCTTAAATTGATTAATGAATGAGTAAATGTATGTATGAATGTAGGAATGAATGAATTTACAGGGTTGTCAATTAGATTGTTCCTTTTCAAAAAGTAGCAGAGGAAGCTAGTTGGTGTGTAAGGTTTCCGAATTTTCTTATCAGCTTTCTTTGGCCTTAGCTATTGAACTTGTAAAAATGGAAAAACAAAGTGAAATGAAAGAGTGTCTGGTTTTGCTTTGGCAGGTTCCAGTCTTTTCTTCAAAGTGAGTAAACATGTTTTTAAGAATTCTTTGAATAATTGCACTTATGTTTTCAATTGTGATGAACTCAGTGGATTCTTTGACTCTGGCAGAAACCTGATGAGGAAGTATAGTTTACTTCCTGGAGGGTGGCTCAGATGCCCAAAGCTTTTCTTTTTTTTTTTAATGTCTTACTAAAAAACTGGGCAGATTATTTTTTCTTTTGCCAAGATAATAGAAAGTGCTTATAGGAAGAGCCTCTACACACAGATTATTGGGAAATAGAACTTAAATTAAGGAGTCTTCATTTCCCTGTGTTCAAAATCTAAGATTCCGATTACTTCATTTGTTCTTCAGAAACATATTTATTTATTATTTAAAATGTCTTCTTTTCCTTATTAAAATTTAAATGAATTTAAATAAAATATTAAAAGGGCATAAAAGGATATAAGAGATTAGTCAACAGTCAAAAAGTCAAGAGTTTTATATTTTAGATTGTTTAGGTTGGGGGGAATATTTCATTGAGAGTTTCCCTTTTTCTTTGTCACTCAGTTATCTGTTTCTCTTTGTTATTAGTCAAAGACTACAGTGACTTCTTAAGAACATAACTGGGGTTTCCTGGACTTTTATTTGAAAGGAATTAGATCCAGAACATAAATTATGTACCTGTATTAGCAGTGCAATTAAGAAACAGGTGGCAAGTACATAATGTGGGAAATACAGAGCATTTTTAAAAATATGGTTTTTTTAAAGATTTTATTTATTTATTTATTTGTCAGAGAGAAGGTGAGAGAGAGAGAGAGAGAGAGAGAGCGCGCAAGCACAAGCAGGGGGAGCTGCAGGCAGAGGGAGAAGGAGCCTGATGTGGGGCTCAATCCCAGGACTCCAGGATCATAGGCAAACGCTTAACCAACTGATCCACCCCAAAATATGTTTGTTTTAATAGAACTTACTATCTGGGTACTGTGTTATTATTTAGGTACTAATGGTAGGTACTAGAGATGCTATGATCAAAAATCTAAATCCCATCCTCAAATTTAATGAAGGAGACAGAAGTAAGTAGCATATGACACAGTATGAAAGTGTACTTGTAGAGTATAAAGGTAAGAATCCCACGCTTACTTGCTTGGCTCTTCCACCGTAATTACATTTGAAGATGCAAATTTCCCTTAATTTCAAGTTTCTCTAAGATTCTGTAGTGGTTTTGTTGTTGTTGTTTTAATTTCTGTTTCTAATTTGAAACCAGAATGATCATTTAATGAAAAACAAGATGATGAGAATTTGAGAGTTGTTTTCTATCCAGGAGACACAGATGCTTCTCATGCAATTGTAAAAAATTAATTCAATATTATTTGCACAGATGGAATTTTGCATTCGAATTTCCTTTGGGAGCAAGTTCTACCCAGGGCACCATAATAGGACCTAGCTTTCAGATGAAGTGTTAGTGGCATCCAAATTGATGAAAGTGTTTTCTATGCTACTGGTACAAGCTGAGACTTCTCTTTTAGGGCAGAAAATATTATATTGCTGGATTTTAAAATATTTTACTTTTATAGAACATGTGGAAGAGAAATAATTTTTTTATGTCAGTTCAAAGAATTCCATTTGGATTGTCCCCAGAATTCAGATGGTGAAAAGGAGAGATACTCTTTGGTGAGTTTATTTCAGTTGTGGTTTAGAGAATGTTAGGACAAGGAGCAAATCAGCAGAGACAAAGCAGTTATTAAGCTACAAAAGTCTAATGCTTACCAGGATTGAGGATTGGACAAGTGCAGCCTCTGTTAGTCCACGATTCTGGATATAATGTTCGTTTTCCTCGTAAAATTTTCAATTTGGTAGATTTTAAGACTTTTTTTATCTTCACATTGACCTCAGCATGAGACCCTTTGTCGTGAGCTGATAAAATCTTTATTTTTAGCACTGTAACAACACAATCCCAAAAGTCAAAATGCATAGAATTTCATACTGCCTTTTGAACTTGGAATAACTTAAATATGCATTTCAGAGTATAATGGAAAAGTTAACTAATGATGATGCAAATGTGGAAATTTGCTTTAAAAATCATTAGGCTCATCTTGATAAGCACGGAGTAATAATTAGAATTGTTGAATCACTGTATTATACACCTGAAACTAATAAAAAAAACCTGTATGTTAACTATACCGGAATTTTAAAAAACTCAAAAAAACCATTAGGCTCACTAACTTTTGCATTGGTTTCACCTTATTTATCTATATTAACTGTACTCTTCCTTCTTAGACATTTTCAACCACTGTTTCCCATATCATTATGCTAAGAGACTGTCAGTCATTTGCCTACTACAAACATAGTCTTAAACACAGTTAGCTATCAAATCCAAATAGAAATGAGGTGTATAGGAAGAAGAATGCTTTCTATTTAGATTCTGACTATATTTTCCTCTGGTTCACTGTGTATTAAAGTTACAACAAAGAACAAACACAATGTTACTGCCAGAATATATTTTACATATTCTAAAGAGATTAAATAATTAAATATTGATTATTTAATCTTCTTCCCTGGATGGAAAATGCAAACTGACTGGGGTTAGGGTGGCTGTCTTTCCACAGGATGGCAGAGCTTCAGTATTCCCTATAACTCACAATTGTATTATGCTCTGCTCTTCCATCTATGAATTGGATATGGCTGGGGATTAAGCAGTGGAATAATTTGGGGTGGGGAAGAAAGTACACCGAAGGAACACTGGATGTAGTGTTCTATATTGTTAGAAGAGTTCTTACATGCTCATTTATATCTTGATGGAAAATTCTGTGTAATGAGGGAACTCTATATTGGCTGGTCCCAATTCCTGAGAATATGGTTGTCAGATAGCAGTTTTTATAGAATCACCAAATTTTAGACTTTTAATGGGTCTTAAGAGTTCATCTAGTCTTGTTTTATGTTTGAGGAAGCAAATTTTAAGAAATTAAGTGAACTTCCCAAATTTGCATGACCAGTTAGTTAGAGGTAGAGTTTGGGCTGGAACCCCAATAAGATAAATGTATGAAGGGTATGTAGCATAGTGCTTGGCTCATGGCTAATGCTCAACAAATGTTCACTATTATTTTCCTACTAGACTGTATGCTCAAAGAGAACTGGGACCTCATCTATTCACTCTTATAGCTTAATAAATATTTGCCAAAGGAATAAACAATGAATCAAGTTTTTTTCCCCATTAATAGAGAGAATGGGGAGGGGGAAACCATTTTTTTCCAAGTCTGTGGGTGTATCGCACCTAGTAAGAACAAAGTATTTAATTACATCATTAAGAATGTCCGAGTTTTCTTTTCTTTTTTTTAAGATTTTATTTATTTATTTGACAGAGACACAGCGAAAGAGGGAACACAAGCAGGGGAGTGGGAGACAGAGAAGCAGGCTTCCTGTGGAGCAGGGAGACTGATGCGGGGCTCAATCCCAGGACCCTGGGATCATGACCTGAGTTGAAGGCAGACATTTAACCATCTGAGCCACCCAGGCACCCGTGTCCAAGTTTTCTTAAGGAGAAGATAATACAGTTGTATTAAAAGATGCCAGTGCAGTTGTTTGTAAATTAGAGAGCTACTAAATATTGAAAACCAGTTGGTATTTCCACTAAACTGACTACCTTTGGACTAAATTGTCATGTTTTTTGCTTCTGATAGTAAATACCATTTTCTCTAAACTAACTTTTCTTTATTGAGCACTATACATTTCAAGTTTTCTTCTGTTATTTAGCCAAGTTGTCAGGTGAAAGGAGGGAAATATGTATGTAATTTTAGATAAGATTTATGAGGTTTTTAACATTTACTTTTTTATCTTTTATGAGATTAAGTACAATGTTATCAAGAACCTAAACACTTGATTTCAGAAATCATGACTTAAAATATTCTCTTCATTGTAATGTGTATTTCGGGCAGTATGAATTATGGAACAATAAAAAGCCTTAGATACTAGGCTTTTTAGTCAAGAATATGTTGGCAAGATAAGGCATCTAATTTGCTTTACTAGTAAACATAAAGCCATTTAGAATTTGAAGATAGTAACAGTCTTAGGGCAGTGACATTTTCCTTTATCTATATTTTCCTGGTACTTGAAAGATACAGGAGTCTAGAATATACAGAGAGGGCAGGGAAAAAGCTTGGATGGACAGCTAATCTCAGTGCTTCCCAAATATATACCCTCTTCCTCCTTTTTGCCAGTTACTGAGCATATAGTGTGTGCTAGATATTGTGTTGTGTTGAAAAAGTGCTCAACATCGCTCGGCATCAGGGAAATCCAAATCAAAACCTCAATGAGATACCACCTCACACCAGTCAGAATGGCTAAAATTAACAAGTCAGGAAATGACAGATGTTGGCGGGGATGCGGAGAAAGGGGAACCCTCCTACACTGTTGGTGGGAATGCAAGCTCGTGCAACCACTCTGGAAACAGTATGGAGGTTCCTCAAATAGTTGAAAATAGAGCTACCATACAATCCAGCAATTGCACTACTGGGTATTTACCACAAAGATACAAATGTAGGGACCCAAAGGGGTACGTGTACCCCAGTGTTTATAGCAGCAATGTCTACAATAGCCAAACTATGGAAAGAGCCAAGATGTCCATCGACAGTTGAATGGATAAAGAAGATGTGGTATATAAACACAATGGAATATTATGCAGCCATCAAAAGGAATGAGATCTTGCCTTTTGCAACGACGTGGATGGAACTGGAGGGTGTTATGCTGAGTGAAATAAGTCAATCAGAGAAAGACATGTATCATATGACCTCACTGATATGAGGAATTCTTAATCTCAGGAAACAAACTGAGGGTTGCTGGAGTGGTGGGGGGTGGGAGGGAGGGGGTGCCTGGGTGATAGACATTGGGGAGGGTATGTGCTACGGTGAGCACTGTGAATTGTGCAAGACTGAGCTGTACTTCTGAAACAAATAATGCAATATATGTTAAGAAAAAAAAAAGGAGGAGATAGCAAGAGGGGAAGAATGAAGGGGAGTAAATTGGAGGGGGAGACAAACCATGAGAGACGATGGACTCTGAAAAACAAACTGAGGGTTCTAGAGGGGAGGGGGGTGGGGGGATGGGTTAGCCTGGTGATGGGTATTAAAGAGGGCACATTCTGTGTGGAGCACTGGGTGGTATGTACAAACAATGAATCATGGAACACTACATCAAAAACTAATGATGTAATGTATGGTGATTAACATAACAATAAAAAATTAAAAAAAGAAAAAAGATATTGTGTTGTGTGCTTTTCAAAAATCCCATTTTATGGGATAGGTGGCATCATCCCTATTTTACAGATGAAGAAATCTAGAGAGGTTAAGTTATCCATGCGATAGACCAGAAATCAAACCTATATATGTTTGAATCCAAAGCTCGAGCTCTTAATCACTGTGAAATAGTGTTTGAACTGATTTCTGCTTAGTATTACTACATGATAACTGGCACAGATTATTACTCGAAACTGGTATTACTACATGAAACTGGCACAGGAATCATTTTAGTGGCTAGAGACTTCCCTTGCTTCTTTTCCTCATAGTAGGACGGCCTTGCCTTTGCTCTACAAGCCTCCTGCCCTCACCAGAACATTCAACAGCATCTTTATTGGAATTATTATATAAGACTAATGCTTTGATATATTGAGAATGTCATAGACTAAGCCTCCCAATTCCTAAAAAAAACTCTTTGTACTTGGTTTGAATAGATTCTTAGAAGCATTCAAGGAGGGGCGCCTGGGTGGCTCAGTCGTCAAGCGTCTGCCTTTGGCTCAGGTCGTGATCCCAGGGTCCTGGGATCAAGCCCCGCATCAAGCTCCGCATTGAGCCCCACATCGAGCCCTGCATCGGGCTCCCTGCTCAGCGGGAAGCCTGTTTCTCCTTCTCCTATTCCCCCTGCTTGTGTTCCCTCTCTCGCTGTGTCTCTCTCTGTCAAATAAATAAAAAAAAAAAAATCTTTAAAAAAAAAAAGAAGCATTCAAGGACTTCAAACTTACCATATGAATATTTCATTCCACAGAATGCCTTGGAGTTTCCTAACACCTGTTCTTTACATTCACATTTACCTACAGAAAGTAAATGAAAAATAGTTATTTAGAAACAAAGAAGAGGGAAAAAAACGAGCAAGTAAATCTAGGTAGCATAACTCATTTTTTTTATTGAAGTATAATTAACATATAGTGTTATATTAGTTTCAGGTGTCAGGTTGTAGAACTCTTTAAAGCTTGAGTGATTCATACAACATAATCCATAAATACTAAGAAACCATACAAAGTCATTTAAACGAAGTAGAGTCACTTTCTGAATTGAATTAGTTATCATTCAATAAAATATTGACTTAGGAGAAATAGAGGTAGAAACAATGATATATTTTAATGCTTATAATTGATGTTACGATAGATATAGTCCAGTATTAAGACTCCATGCTAATGGAAAGGAACAATGGAATGGATAAACTATAGGAAAGACAACTGTCTTTTTACAATTAATGTTCACCACAGCAAAAGTCAAATACAGTAAAATAATCGAGCAGTCTTTTGAAGGTAATGCCATCCAATTTAAAAGTATTTATTGAACACCTTTTATGTGTAGGACATGATGCTATATACTTCAGAGTCTATAAAGATGAGCAATATACAATTCTTGCCTGGAGGCTTACAATTCAGTAAGGTGAATAAAGCAAGTGTACACACAGTGTTCTAAGACAGGCACAATATGTTTGGGTGGGAGGGCCACATGTTTGGGAAGATGGAAAAAGGCTACATGGCTGAAGAAGGATTTGAAATGGACTCTGAAGTATAAGTAGGATATTTTTTTGACAGTTTAAGTGATGTATGACAGTTATTGTGTGTCAGATATTTGGCACGCCCTGTGAAAGACTTTCAAAATGCCTTTGATAGAATCTATACATAGCATTCTCACTGATTTATCTGCTTCCTCTCTAAACTGTGATCCTTGGGGCGCCTGGGTGGCTCAGTCGGTTAAGCAACTGCCTTCAGCTCAGGTCATGATCCCAGGGTCCTGGGTTCGAGCCCAGTATCGGGCTCTGCCCAGTGAGAACCTGCTTCTCCCTCTCCCTGCCGCTCCCCCTGCTTGTTCTCTCTCTCTCTCTGTCAGATAAATAAAAAATAAAATCTTTAAAAATAAATAAATAAACTGTGATCCTTGAGGATGACAGTTACATCATATTTATCTTTATATTCCTAGAACCCAGAAGGGGTAGGATTTCCATTCTTACATAACAATTAGATATAATTTTATCATCCCTCCCCTTCTGCCCTCACGCATTGCATTTCGTAGGCATTGAGTGGCATGAAAGTAGGTAACATTTACTAAGGAGCAGTTACTGTGTGCCAGGCACTATTTTAAGTGTTTTATATTTATTTACTCATCTAAGATTCTAACAGGTAGAAATTTGACAAGAATGTAGAGATATTAGAGTGAGGAAAGAAATGTAAGAGAGAAGGGCAGGGTGTGTTCATGGAAGAGTCAGTGGTTCTGTTTTTCTTGGGTACAGATTGAGTTGTGAATAGTAGAAGATATCATGGAGGACCTGGACTGTTAGGGCCTGAATTTAATTTGTTAGAGAAAGGGGATTTTTTTTTTTTTAGTATAGTTCACACACAATGTTACATTAGTTTCAGGTGATTCAACAAGTTGTATGTTATGCTATGTCACCACAAGTGTGGCTACCATCTGTCACCATGCAATGCTATTGCAATATCATTGACTGTATTCCCTATGCCGTACCTTTATTTCCATGACTTGTTAATTTCATAAATGGAGGCCTGTATCTCCCATTCCCCTTCCCCCATTTTGTCCATTGATAAAGGGGAATTTTCAAAGCTCATAAAAATTATTGGCATGGAAAGAAAATGGAAGCAGGGACCAGTTAAAAGCTGATGAAATTGATGACAGCAACAGTAACTGAAATGAGTGCCAACCACAAGCCATAAACTATATAAGGAACTTTATCCATATGATCTTGTTTAATATCTATAATAACCTTATGAGATAGGCATTATTAACAAATGAAAAAATAAAGACTCAGAGAAGTTAATTAGCTTGTCCAAGGCAACATAACTAACAAGTAGATGGGTCTGGGTCTGGGAGAATCTGAAGCCCCTGATCTTTCCACTGTATTCTCTCTAAGTCAGATAAAATGTGGGTCTGAACAAAAGAGATGGCTGTAGGTCTAGAGAGGAAGAAATATTAAGGGAGGCTGCAGACTTAGGGTCTACAAATCTTGTCAATGGATTGGAAGAGGAAGCCTAAGAATGAACTTGGAGTTTTCCTGTCACCTTGCAGCCAAGGTGACAGAAGACTGAAGTATTACTAACAGAAATAGGGAAGTTAGGAGGAGAGCACTTCAGGGATGTATAACTTAAGGTTTTTTGTAGCAATCAGTGGTTTAACTTAATTGTTCAAAGGATATGGAGTAGCTCACAGGAGAAAAAGCTGAAGAACCAGAACTCAGAAAAGACAATCAGGAGAGCAGCAAAGATCTAGGTATCAGGAACTGCTGTGCAGTCCCTTTTATGGATTTGCCATCGGAATCGTGAACTGGGATCACTTTCAGACCTCGTCACTTTCAGCTCAAGATTTAAGTTCCGGGGAGAGCACATCTGATTGGCCTGGCCAAGACTGTATTTAATGGAGGGGGGGGGAAGGGTGGCTCCCTAGAGAAAAACTGGGTTGAGCTACCGCAGAAATAGCAGGAATAAAGGGGAAATGGATCTGGTTAGGCAAAAACAACAGAGGTCTAGCATGAGGAGAATATAATGAATTAGAGTTGCTGACAAAACATCCGCGTGGAAATGAGAGTATGATTCTGGTGAGATGAGGTTGGGTAGACATGGTGATGTGGCAAATAGTGACATACCGGCTCTAACTAAAGCTGCTCTAGAGACCAGAGAATGAGATGTGTAAGTGGAAAAACACAGTGGAATTAAATAGTGGGAATGAGAAATCTAAGGTTCTTAAAATTAGCTGTTGTGATTTGTTAAATAATATTGCATATAATCTAAACATAGCAGAGAGGGTTACTCATTCGGAAATTGGAGTAACCTAAGTAGGTAGCCCACAGCCTTTGATAATTCCACCGAAGCTGGAGAGTACGGTAACTACCGTGCTAAAAAACCTAATGGAACTCCAAATGGCATATATTATTACTCAACTGATGTTCTTCTTTGTAGTCCTTCAGCCAACAGGAACATACAAAGTTCCGTTATTTGAAGATCTTCCTGTGGTTGCTTTCCAATACTCCCTTTTCATATGTTAAGAAATCAGACATTAAAAATTTTTTTCATAAAGATTACCATTGTAATCATTTTAAAAAAAGATTGTATTTATTTATTTGAGGGGGGCTGGGAGGGGCAAAGGGGGAGGGAGAAGGGCAAGCAAGACTCTGCTGAGTGCAGAGTCCTTTGCAGGGGCTCAATTTCACAATCTTGAGATCATGACCTGAGCTGAAACCAAAGTCTAACGCTTAACCAACTGAGCCACCCAGGCGCCCCTAAAATTTGTTTTTGAATGAATCTTTGTTGATCAGGCTTTAACCCAGATGTGTTGTCTTAAAGGAAATCTGGAAGGGGAGAAAAACCTAGTTAGTTAATATTGGGCTATTAGAACATTGTTTATAGTCCTGTGGTACTGGTTAAAACCAGTTTTCTTGTACAAATTCTGTAGTACTACTTAAAGCCAGTTTTGTTGTACAAGTTCTATGGTACTAATTAAAGCCAGACTTGTACAGGAGGCAAAATTTTACATCTAAGACGATGGACTCTGAAAAACAAACTGAGGGTTCTAGAGGGGAGGGGGGTGGGGGGATGGGTTAGCCAGGTGATGGGTATTAAAGAGGGCACATTCTGCGTGGAGCACTGGGTGTTATGCACAAACAATGAATCATGGAACACTACATCAAAAACTAATGATGTAATGTGTGGTGATTAACATAACAATAAAAAAATTTTACATCTAATGTTCTCTATCTCCTAAGAAGTGGTAGAAATTAAGGGTATCTTGTTGGTATAGTGCATTATATTTCTAGTTTGAGAAACTATGGTAGGTAAATAGGTAGGTAGGCACATATATTTGAGAACGAACTATGGTGCTTAAAAAACTGACCATTTTTTTGTTGTTGTTTAAAAAAGGTGCCACGAGCACAGCACTATTCTATACCCAATGGGAATACTGATATTTAGCAGGAAACCAAACAATGGCTTCCTCTATCTGGAGCTCCTCCAGATGAATTTCAGAGACTCTCTAGGGGTAGCACAGACCTAACAGCTGTTGTGGATGTGAGTTTGAAGTGATTCTGATGCCAGCACGTTATGTGCTGAATTGGTGTATCGCCAGTTCCCTAGTAACATGATTGGCTTAATGAATGTCCTATGGTCCTAAAAACTTGATTTTTACAGATTTGGCCAGCAGGCAAATTTGAATCATTATGAAAATCATTGTGTTAGTAAAATAGAAGAAAAGTTCCAAAAGTGGTTGAGTTAAAATTATAGAATTCAGACTATTTAGCATTGAGGCCAAAAATTAATGGGAAAGATTTTTTTTCTTTTTCAAATGCTAAAAAAGATAAATATGACTACTTTGTATTCCTTTATCTTTCCCACCTTCTTTCCTGTTGTGAACTAAAATGAAACCATGAGGAAAATGATCACAAGATTATGTTAAGTGAAAAAAAACAGGATACAGAATTACAAATACAGGTGTTTCTCAAATTTGGGTTCTTGGTCCTTGAAGAGTCCATAAGTTCTCTATGAAAGTGTATTAAAATTGTGGTTTCTTACTCTGCCCCAGTCACCCTGGTCTCCTTGCTGACCTCAGGGCTTTTGCACTTGCTATTTCTTCTGCCTAAACTCTCCTCCCTCTTTTATCTGTATAGCTTACTCTCTTAACTTTTTTAGTTTTCTTTTTTTTTTTACCTCATATGTCACCTTTCACAGGATTTTCCTTGATCACCTTTTTTAAAAGTATGCCCCTCTGACCACTTATTATCTCCCTCCCTGCTTTACTTCTCTATTATATTAAAAAACATGACACTAAATATTTTACTTATTAATATTATTAGTTGTCTTCCTCCACAAGAATGTAAGCTCCTTGGAGGTTGGGATTTTTATCTGTTCTGTTCCATTACTATATTTACAGTACTGGCATACATTGTGGGTATTCAATAAATATTTGTTGGGTAGATGAATGAATTTATAAGGAATTACTAATTAGAAAATGACAAATTGGAAATACACAGAAAAAGAGACCTGAATGGTTAAGAAAGCATGAAAAGTTACTAAAACTGTTAGTAATCAGGAAAATACAATTTAAAATGGCAAGGTCCCAGTCCATACTCATCAGATTGGCAAAAGTTGAGAGATTTGATAATGTTAACTTTAGAAGCCCCAAAATATTAAATGAGTTGAATTGTGCCTGAGTTGGTGAGGTAGAATAGTGCTTGGCCCCTTGTATGTGCTTTATAAAAATTTGTTAAATAAATACAAAGTATCAGTGAGGCTATAAAGCAACAGGATATCATACTTTGCTTGTAGATGCAAATCTGTATAACCACTTTGGAGAGCTATTTGGCAATATGTGGTAAATTTGATAAAAAACCATACTAGTGGCCCAACAGTGGCTAGGTTTTACCCTAGGAGAAGATCAGCAAACTTTTTCTATAAAGGGATAGATAATAAAGGTGTTAAGATTTATGGGCTGAGACAAAATTAAAGATACTATGCAGGTATTAATATAACTATTTAAATTATAACTATAAACCTTAGAGCAGGTAGCTTGTGAGCTGTAGAAAAACAGTTGGCAGGCCAGATTTGGTCTGAGGGCCAGTTTGCCAGCCCTGCTCTAATGAAACTTTTTTTTTTTTTTTTTTTTTTTTGGTGAATCTCCTTCTTAAGTGCACCAAGTCACATTTAAGAGAATATTCGTTGGGGCGCCTGGGTGGCTCATTCAGTTAAGTGTCTCTTTTCGGCTCAAGTCATGATCCCAGGGTCCTGGGATCCAGCCCCGCATTGGGCTCCCTGCTCGGTGGGGAGTCTGCTTGTCTCTCTTCCTCTGCCTGTCCCCCCCAGTGCTCATGCTCTCTCTCTCTCTCTCAAATAAATAAAATCTTTTTAAAAAATTATTTAAAAAAACATTCGTTATAACATTACATAAAATTGGAAATTAGAAATATCCTAAATGGCAGATAATGAGAGAATAAAAAGTGGCATATTCAAGTAAGAGAATGCATAAATCTAAAAAAAATACATATTCAGATCAAAGAAAGTTTTAAAGGCATAGGTAAGTTATCATGTGCATGCAATTTTAAAAAACACTCTATTTATATATGTAGTAATAGTAAAAACATTAAAGATAATGATAAATACCAAAATTCAGGTTAGTGGTTATTCTGTGGAGTAAGGGAGGCTAGTGAAGTTGGAGATTGGTACAGGTCTTCGAATGTATCTATAACACTTTAAAATTGAAATGAAAATATGAAACAATTATGGCAAAACATAAAATTTGGTTAACACTAGCTGGTGTGTATATGGGTGTTAATAATACATTTTTGGCATTTGTAATGTTTAATAAAAAGAATTTTTTGGTGACAATTTCACAATACACACAAATCATTATGTTGTACACCTAAACTAATATGTTATATGTCAATTATACCCCAATAAAAATTAAAAAAATTATTGTAAGTTTCATTTGGATCATTTTGGGAGCACTTTATAACCAAATGCTGACACAAGATTTCATGCCCACATTTGTGTTTGTGTTATGGAGCAAGTTGGTGCTGAACAGAACCACTTGACTTTCTATAAGAGAAGAACAGAGGCAGGATCAACACAGAAACCAGGTATTCACACCAATATCACAGCATGCTCATCAAACAAAGGAACAGATAAACATCATAGGAAAATAGAGTCAGGAAATAGTAGTATAGACTTCGTAGACCCAAAGAACCATATTTATGTAGGAAAAAGTGTTTTGGCTTCAGTAAAAATCATTCTTCATATTCAATTAATGGTGTTATTTTGAATTTTATTAGTTTTGTTATTTGGCTTATAATTAGTTTTATAAAATTATTTTTGTTTTCTAGTTGTAAAAAAGATATAAACAAGGAGTTTACACTTAGCTTTGTGTATATTAAGTTTCGTTAGGTCTATAAGAATATTTTTCCTTTAAATGGATCTCTACATTTCCAAACCTAATATATTCAATTAGCTCTCACCTGTGTAAAACAGTATGTTTTAGAGAGAGAGAAACACACCAAAACACTAACAGTTTGGGTAATGAGATTTGGGTATTTTTTTACTGTGATGTTTTGCATTTTCCAGATTTTCTATACTAATTAGAAATGTTATGCTAATAATCAGAAAATAAACAAAAGCTTGTTAAAATACTCTTTGGCTATCTTTTAATAGTTTTATGCTTATGGGCAGGGGTGTCACTATTTTATTAACCTCAGAACTAAAGAGTTTCCCTGGTAGGATCTAAGAGTTGTTTCCTGGTTTGTCACAAATCACTGTTACTCGAGACCAGACCTGGAAATATGATAACTGGTTATATCCATTGTCTCACCTGAGTGTCGAAGTGCAGAAAATCCTTGCTCATCCTCCCACTCCCAGGCTGGCTCGCTTTTATTGTGCATGGAATGGAAGTCAGGAATTTCTTGATACCAGTCTATGTCTGTGCTACTAATAAAATAGAAAATGATGAAGTTAAGGACTCTCTTAGAACTTGAATGAAATGAACATATGTATGGAGACTTAAACCTAATCAGGTACCTTGCCATCCTTTTAGTTTTCAGAAATAGTGTTTTAAGGGCCTATTGTTAAGAATAATTTGTTCTGCAAAATGAACCAGACCATCTCTAGAATCTTGCAAGAACAAATGACTCTGCAGTTTGACAAAGATTCTTGAAAGAGCTATGCAAATACATCTTTGCTGCACTGATAGCATGCAAGATTTTCCAAATCACTACCAGATCTTCAAAAGAATCTGAAGGACACATGGACAGAGCAAGAGCCACGAGCATTCACCTGCTGATGCAGTCTCCTGTGAGTGGGTCACAGCTCCCTGCGCAGTCACAGGGCCTGCAGCCGTAGTCTCCAAAGCCCCAGTACCCCACCATACACCTGTCACAATGTGGCCCTGCCACCCCAGGCTTGCAAGGGCAGTCACCATTGCTGGGGTCACAGAAGGTCACCGAGTTGAAAGGAAGGACAGCTGATCCAACTGGATGACAGGAACACACTACAAGAGAGGACACACAAGGATCAATGAGTAACTGGTTATCTGTGATCTGTAAAGATCAGTCCTGAAATGGTTTCCCTTCACCACCCAGCGTACCCCTCTGGCTCCTCCTTTAGCCAGTTGGTATATGCTCAGAGAATGAAAACTAATTAAATTACAGATGAGAAGATAAAATCAGGAAAGCACATTTGCTGCAAAATGAACTACATTATTTATTCTAAATTAGAGGGCATTAAATATGAATGGATTTTGCTTGGGGTGTTGAGAATGAATCAGCAAAGAAGACAAAGAAGGAGCAGTTAGCCAGAAAGGAAAAAAATCATGAGAGTATGGTGTTCTGGAAGCTAAACAAAGTTTCAACATCAGGTAGGCAACATCAACTGTGTTAAATGCTGATAGTCCCAAGAAGATGGGGATTGGGAATATATTTTTGCATTTGACAAAATGAAGACCATTGGTGTCTTGACAGGAACAGTTTCACTGTAATGATGAGTGGTGAACCTATCTGAAGAGGACTCAGGAGATGGGAGTAGAGGACTTTGAGCATGAGAACAGACAGCTCTTTTGAGGAGCTTTTCTATAAGGGCACGGAAATGTGGTGGTAGCTAAAACTGGAGGGTGATATGAAAGTAAGTGGGTTTGAGTTTTTGTTTTGTTTATTTTAATATGAGAAAAATTGCAACAGATTTGATGTTGATGGGAATGATCCAAGAGAGGGAAAAATTGATGACCAGAAGAAAGCTGGGAGCATTGTTAGAGGGATATTTAAGCATAATGGAGTAAGGAAGATAGACAGGATCTGGTGCAGAAGAGAAGGTGCTGGCCTTCGGTAGGAATGTGATCAGTTCATAGTAACAGGACGCAGGGCAGAGCATATGGACTCAGATGCAGGAAAGTGGATAAATGCAAGAGTGGGAGCTGGTAGAACTTTTCTTCTGATTGCTTGTATTTGATGGATGAAATAGGAAGGAAAGTCATCAGGTGAGAGAGATGAACAGCGGCAGTGGGAGAGTGAATGAGAGACATAGAAAGTGAATATTATAATTTCCAGACACCTTTAAAAGCCATACTTGAGGTTAGTGTAGTCATGAATTTATAGTGATACAGCCAAGAGGGTTCAGGTTTGAGATGGGAAGAAAGCTGGATTTAATTTGCATGGTGTTATGGACTGACTCTGTACCCTCCAGATTCGTATGTTGAAGCCTAGTCTCCAGTGTGATGGTATCTGGAGGTGAGGTCTTTGGGAGGTTTGGATGCGGTCTTGCGGGTAATGAGATTGGTGCCCTTATAAGGGGATGAAAATCTCCATGCTGTCTTCTCTGTGAAGGATGTGAGGCTACAATTAGAAGTTGGCAGTCTACAATCCAGAAGAGAACTCTCACCAGCACCCAACTGTCCTGAACCTCAGTTTCTTCAGTTGGGTCTCTAGGTCTCATGGAAATTTCGAGGATGAAATGATTTTAAATGAAATTGTTTCAGCAAGATACATAGCACAGTCTGACACTTACTAGGCCAGTTCTTCCTGCTAAATCTCAACTGATAATACTCTAGATGCCACCCCCTCCTTTATCCTCTTGGAAACATCTTCTATTGATTCATTTCTTTGTCATTAAAATCACAGTTTGGCTTCAGTCTGGCTTCAGATCTCAACTACTGACTGTGTGACTTCGGAAAGAGACCTAGCTTCTCATTATCCCAGTTTTCTTGTCTTTAAAATGGAAATGAGAACCATATCTATCCTCATATGGTTGTTGTGTGGATAAAAGGAGGTCATGCACGTAGTGTATGGCTACATTAGTGTGGTGTCTGGCACATGGTTAATTAATCGTGAACTAACAATTTAATTCAATAAATAATTCTTATAGAGGTACAGGATCTGTGCTTGTCTAAGTAATGGTGTCAGTCCTTAAGGAACTCATGGTCTTGTTGGGGAAACAGAGGAGTAAATAAAAACTTGCCATATACTGTGACTAGGTACTCTAAAAGAGGCCTGTGCATTCTACGGGAGCACAGAAAAGGGAACACAGGCTGACGGAATCACATGGGGATTCTTTCTTCTAAAATTTAATTTTATTTTATTTAAATTCAATTAATTAACATATGAGTGTATTATTAGTTTCAGAGGTAGAGGTCAGTGATTCATCAGTCTCACATAACAACCAGTGCGGACACCTGGGTGGCTCAGATGGTTAAGCGTCCGCCTTTGGCTTAGGTAATGATCCCAGGGTCCTGGGATCATTTAAAATGATGATCAAAATCTTTAAAAAATACAAACCAAACCAAACAAACAAAAGAAAAACCACCCAGTGCTTATTACATCACATGCCCTCCTTAATGTCCATCACCCAGTTACCCCATCCCTCCACCCCGCTTCCCTCCGGCAACCCTCAGTTTGTTTCCTATAGTTAAGAGTCTCTTTGTCTCCCTGATTTCATCTGTTTTATTTTTCCCTCTCTTCCCCTATGATCCTCTGTTTTGTTTCTTAAATTCCACATATCAGTGAGATCATATGATAATTGTCTTTCTCTGACTGACTGATTTTGCTTAGCATACCCTCTTGTTCCATCCACATCATTGCAAATGGCAAGATTTCATTTTTTGATGGCTGAGTAATATTCCATTATATATATACCACATCTTCTTTATCCATTTATCTGTCAATGGACATCTGGGCTCTTTCCATAGTTTGGCTATTGTGGACATTGCTGCTATGAACATTGGGTGCAGGTGCCCCTTCAGATCACTCCATTTGTATCTTTGGGGTAAATACCTAGTAGTGCAATTGCTGGGTCATAGGGTAGCTCTATTTTGAATTTTTGAGGAACCTCCATACTGTTTTCCAGAGTGGCTGCACCAGCTTGTATTCCCACCAACAGTGTAGGAGGGTTCCCCTTTCTCTGCATCCTCACCAACATTTGTTGTTTCCTGACTTGTTAATTTTAGCCATTCTGACAGGTGTGAAGTGGTATTGCTTTGTGGTTTTGATATTGTACTTCCCTGATGCCGAGCGATGTTGAGCATTTTTTCATGTGTCTGTTGGCCATTTGGATGTCTTCTTTGGAGAGATGTCTGTTCATGTCTTCTGTCCATTTCTTGATGGGATTATTTGTTTTTTGGGTGTTGAGTTTGATAAGTTCTTTATAGCTTTTGGATACTAGCCCTTTCTCTGATAAAACCTTTGCAATTATCTTCTTCCATTCTGTAGGTTGTCTTTTGGTTTTGTTCACTGTTTCCTCTGCTCTGCAAAAGCTTTTTTATCTTGATGAAGTCCCAATAGTTCATTTTTGTCTTTGTTTCCCTTGCCTTTGGAGACGTATCTAGCAAGAAGTTGCTGCGGCCGAGGTCAAAGAGCTTGCTGCCTGTGTTCTCCTCTAGGATTTTGATGGATTCCTGTCTTACATTTAGGTCTTCCATCCATTTTGAATTTACTTTTCACATGGGGATTTTAAAGGAGGGGTCATTTAGATAACTGAGCTGATCCTAAAGGATGAGTAGGAGTTTACAAGCTGAAAAGGAGGAGGAAGATAGGCAGGTGTGTATCCCAGTCTTTAGATACTCTCCCCATGGCATTTATTTTAAATATGAAAACAAAATTTAATTGTGGTAAAAAACACATACCACAAAATGTAGCATCTTCACCATTTTTAGCTGAGTTTTATGTGTCTGCATTATATGTGGAAGCTCTTACCGCTCCCTGAAAATGTGAAGCTCTTTCCTGCCCTGGTGTCCCTTGTCATTCCTGCATTGCCTTACTCTTGTCCATCTGGACCCTGACATGCTTCTTTGTCCCACTCCCTCCAGACAAGTGTAGCACTCTCTCCTCTTTGCTGAGAGATAGTGTATATCTCTATTTTCTGTGCATCATAGTACATCATTATTATTCATTTTATGCCTGTTGCCCTTACGACTAGACTCTGCACTCATTGACAGAAAGCTCTTTATCTTCTTATTTTTGTTTTCCAGTCGCCAGAACAGGGTCTGGTATATCGGAGATGCCCACACCATCACTTGTGAAATTGACCTGAAGGATATTCCAGGCTGTGGGGATCATGTGTGAAAGGGCATGGCCTCTTTGGGGAGTGTGAGAATTTTAGAGTGTACATTGAGTGGAAAGCAGTTGGAATTGATGAGGCAAAAGAAAAAAGCCACAGAGTTAGGGTTGGAGCCAGACTGTAGAAGGGCTGAACCCAAGAAGTTGAATTTTACCTTGTGGGTATGAAGAGCCATAGAAAGTAACACTTTGAAAAAGCAGAATTATGACCTGGTTATAATTTAATTTTGAAGATACTTTTGTGGCATTGCGTGAAACAGACTAGAGTAGGGAGAGACTGATAGCAGGGAAATGAAAGAAATGAGAGAGAACAAGGAACTGGACTAAGAGAGTAGATGCCGGAGCAGGAGGAAAGGTTGAAATGATAGGAATGAGGAGGAAGAAGGCACTGTTGAGAGACAAACAGAAATTGAGGAAGATTTTCACATTTCTAGCTTATGAAAGTGAATGACTAATATTTCTCCTAAGTTAGCAAGGCATTGTTGATTTGTTATTTGTTTTTAATTAATTAACTAGGAAATAATTTGCAGTTATATAATATGTAACACAAAATGTATCAACATGTATCAAAGTGCTATGTGAAGACATTAAATGAAATCACATAATCCAAATATAAACATTTCGTTGTTTTGAGATGACTAAAACAATAGTTACTGCAATATTCAGTTCTAAGTCAGCTTGGTTCATGACAGCAGACAGGGGAGCCAGAAGAAAGATGTCTTGGACTTCCATCCTATTGCCACCATTATCTTTTACTCTAATAGAAAATTCAAGCCTTTCTAGGATTTGACCTCTTTGTACTACCTTATACTTGAAAACCCACACACATTTCAGGAATGGCCAGAGAAGAATGTGATTCTATCACATGTGCTAGTGGATTTCTGTCAGTGTGACTTTTTACATAATTACAAGATAAAAATACCATTTGGAAACTATGCAGAACTAGCTCCAGGCAGACAGCACTGACACTTTTCATGACATACTTTTCAAACTGCACACCAAGGCCTGCTTGCATACCTGTCCCTGAAAGTTTGTGGAACAGTCAATATTTGACACATATAATCTACATTTCTTATTTTCTTCCAAAATGCAAATATATTTTCTTCTTGCTTGGGGAAAAAAAAAAAGGTGTGCCTAGACTCTGGTTCAGGTTGTGATTCTCCAACATATATTTCTTACTGATTATTGGTTCTAAAGTGCAACCCAAGCACTTAGCTTTTTTACATATTCATTTTTTTAAATATATTTTTTTAAGATTTTATTTATTTATCAGAGAGAGAGAGACAGAGGCAGGCAGAGGGAGAAGCAGGCTTCCTTGCTGAGCAAGGAGCCTGATGTGGGACTTGATCCCAGGACCCTGGGATCATGACCTGAGCTGAAGGCAGACGCTTAACCGGCTAAGCCACCCAGGTGTCCCTTTTTTTACATATTCACTACGATGAAGGCCAAAGTTGCTGAAGTGGCAACCCAGTTAGCATGACATAAATCCTTGACATAAGCTTTGTCTTTTTGTTGGCAGATTATAGTAAAGATGGAACTATTATCATATACTATCATTCTGAACTTAATTATTTTTTTTATTATAATTTTTGGTAAAGCTCTAGTGAGTTGTCTTTAAAAGCCAAAATGGTGCTTTGAGTGGCAGCTAGATATATTTAAAAGCTATATGGCCTGGGCGCCTGGGTGGCTCAGTCGTTAAACGTCTGCCTTCAGCTCAGGTCATGATTCCGGGGTCCTGGGATCAAGTCCCACATCAGGCTCCCTCCTCGGCAGGAAGCCTGCTCTCCCTCTCCCACTCCCTCTGCTTGTGTTCCTGCTCTCTCTGTCTCTGTCACATAGATAAAATCTTTAAAAAAAAATAAAAAAAAATAAAAGCTATATGGCCTAAGTATTAAATGATTCATTATTGGAATACTTATCACCACTCCCAAGCCTCTCCCCTAAACCATTTGCCCACTGCTGCTCTCTCAGCCAAACTGACAGAATAAAATTATTGAAAATATCACTTTGAATTCCTAAATATTGTCACAAGATTTCTTTAATAATGCAAATGACAAATTTTAAATAGTACATTCTGTACTGATGTGTTCTAAGTAATCCTGAAATAATAATACAAAGTATTCAAAACAGGTGAGATTGAAGAAAGGAAATGGGTACTTTTACAAAAGATTTCACAACAGGTTCCCTTCAAATAATGAATATATAATTGCTAAATATTATTCAAATTTTATTTACAGATACATGTTTGCAGCAATACATCTATTGTGTGAAACACTGTCCCTCTAGGAGCATTTACAGAAAAGAGTTAAGACATGGGGCTGTTCTGGAGTATCTTCTACCAGGAAACATACTGTTCATGAAACAATGGTTGAACACATTTTTAAATAACCTTGTTTATCTACATGGCTCTGAAATTAATAATTGTTTCAATCACAATACAGCTTGTTTGGAAATTGCCTGTAAGATCTTTTAGGAAGACAGAAAATAAAACAAAGGCAATATAAGAGAATTCATAAGGGCACCAACTTAAAATCAGACTAGATGAGTTCAAATTCTGGTTATGAGGCTTAGTCTTTAAAGGGTTTGTGAAATTAACTTCCTCACTTCAATTTTCTTATTGATAGAGTAAGAGGAATAATACCTACACCATAAGGTACCTGTGTGAGGCCTGATTAAGATACTGTATATAGTTAGCAATATATCAAGAATTAATAGCATCAAATGCTCAGAGAGTAACTGTGATTATTATCTGGCCAACCATATTTTTTTTTATTTTTTTTAAAGATTTTATTTATTTATTTGAGAGAGAGAGCATGAGAGAGAGCATGAGAGGGAGCATGAGAGGGAAGAGGGTCAGAGGGAGAAGCAGACTCCCTGCTGAGCAGGGAGCCCGATGCGGGACTCGATCCCGGGACTCCAGGATCATGACCTGAGCCGAAGGCAGTTGCTCAACCAACTGAGCCACCCAGGCGCCCTGGCCAACCATATTAAAACACTTTTTTTTATTAAGTAATGTCTATGCCCAACATGGGGGCTCGAACTCATGACCCTGAGATCAAGAGTTGCATACTCTACTGACTGAGCCAGGCTGACACCCCAACATATTAGTTTTTAGAAGTCCACCATTCATTCATTCATTCATTCACACCTTCACCAAAGAGTTTTTGAACTTTGGTGTTAACATGAACCAGAGGCTGAAGATATACAGGAATACAGAGTCATAACTAACTCTTCAGTGAATCAAGAGAGATATGCAAATACATAATTACAGACAGTAAATGTTGTAACAGAGGTAGCCCAGGGTGCATGGGAACACAGAGAAAAGAGCAATAACTGCCTTATTGCAGATATGAGGTTTTTTTTTTAAAACAATTTTAACAATTTGGTTTCCAAAATAGGCTGAAATTATTCACTTTGCCCCTGGGAGGAATTTGGTGACAAACAGCTTTCTTGATTGTCTTACAGAATTAGGTTACTCTCCTACTACGTGTTCTTTTCTTTGGATCACATAAATTCCATCTGCTCTTACTCTCCTTTTGTGGATGAGAGTATACTGAAAAAAAGTAGGGTATGATCTATGATCCTCTTGTTTATAGGGAGATATCCCACCATGTAGTCTAGGACCAGAGTCACAGCTGTCAACGTACATGAACATAATAAATATGTAAACAGGAATACAAAATGGCCAGGGACATATAATGGGAGCTTTATGGCTTCCTTTATTCTGATGGGGTTGCTAAAGCTTTTGGTGGTGGAGTCAAAGGAAACCATCGTTCCCTTTTCTCTTTATTCCTACCTTCACCCGAACTCTAGGAGTCGTTTGCACACCTTTCATTCAGAGTGATCCGTGATGCCAAGCTTACTGTTGAAACAACCAGTTGAGTTCAGCATCTTACCCCCTTTAAAAATCACCAGGACTCCTTAGTATTACCTGATGGCTGTAGCTTTTGCTATTCTGTTAGTAAAAGCGACACTGGGAGCAAAACACCCTGAAAGTATTTGCTCCTGATTTAGCTTTTCTAAAAACAGAACTCAAAGTTCAAGGCCCTCAGCTGGGAAAGAAGCAGCTTGTCAAGCAAGGGCTTTCACGGCTGCCCAGTGGCCACTCCCTCAGCAGAGCCTCCCAGCCTCCCAACACTGTCTTACTCTGAAAAGGCCAAGGCCCTACATAATTTCTGATGGGGAATTTTAAATATCAAAGCCACTTCAAGAGCTACCCCCTGAGGTTCTCAGAATTGGAGTTAAGGGCAATGACTGAGATGCAGCTCTAAACAGAAAAGAGACAGTATGATCTGTTATTACTGTATCAAGCACAAAGTTAAATGTTAGATAAAACGAAGTCTTCTACCTTTTTTGGTACTGTTTTCTCCTTTCCTTCTACTATCAGTTATTTTCGCTAGCGGTTGAACAACTATGGAAAAATAAAGAAAAATTTGTAAACAAAGGCAATTGTCAAAGGTAATATGGTTTACCCCTTTACTCTCCTAGGGAACATTTTTTTTAATTCATCCTTTAAATATAATATACATTGTATACTGAATGAATACATTCAAAGGTAGCTAGTGCCACAGTATTCAAGATGAATGTTAATTTCAAATAAAATTATGCAAGAATAAATCTACTAAGAAAATAATCTAAATTAAGACTTGCCTTTCGCTTACTGAAGTGCAGTGTCTCCTGAGTTACTGTATATCCCACACTGAAGGAGATTCATGTATGCATAAATCTAGTCATTTGTGCCCCTACTAAATGCTTTAAAAAAATAAATGTAAGGTATTTAAGTATGTTTCCTATGTTTTCTATAAACTTTAAGAGTAATGAAAATAAATACAAAAGTCATACCCTTTATTTTTAATGCTTTACTATGTGACCACTGCTCAGACCCTCAATTTGATTTCTGTATCTTTCCTTTCCTGTTTACTAGTTGTAACTGAGCCAGTTACTATTTATTCCTGGGTATATCTAAAAGATCTTAGACAGCCAAATAGCCAATTTTATATTCCTGGGTTGCTACTTCAGTTAAAACTGAAGAATTTGTACTTTTGTGTGTACAGACAAATTCCGTTACAGGAAAACTTTTAAGTGTAATTTTAGACACTGTATTTCGCTCTGAGGAATTTGGTTATATCAAACACCATTATCTTTTTGTTGAAGAAAGCCTCCTGTATTCCCAATCCACGCAAGGCACCATCTACCCAGGCGCCTAGTCAGGAAACTGGGTCATCCCTAACTCCTTTTTCCTTTGGATAAGGAATCCCTATTGACCCCATCTACCTTCTCCTTTGAATTGATGTGGTTCATCCCTGCTATAATCTATCATGGTACCCCTTTTTTCATAATGTATTGCAGTTTTGTTTTGTTTTTTAAAGATTTTATTTTCAAGTAATCTCTACACCCAATGTGGGGCTTGAACTCACAATCCTGAAATCAAGAGTCACATGCTCCACTGACTGAGCCAGGTGCCCCTGCAGGTTTTAATTACATATTTATGTGAATAAATGTATTTATACTCTGTTTCTATGGCATTAGGGACTCTGTTTTGTTGTATATACAGTGAATAGGATAGGCCTGCCACAAAGTAAGCACTGAGTAAATCTGTGTTGAGTTTTAAAAAATGGATGAATTATTGTCACTTAATATATATTTCTTAATGATTGATGTTCTTCTGGCCTCCAGTGTAATCTCTCTATGATTTTTCACCTCCCTGCTGTCTCTGTAGTACACTGTGAAGGCCTAGAAGGTAGAAACCACATCTTTCATCTCTGCATCCCCAAAACCTAGGACCCATGCTGACCCATTTTAGGGACTCACTCAATCTTTGTTGAATGAATGTTCCTCTGAATGAGTGACAACCATGAAATATGTGTTGATGAACCTACTGAAAGGCTCATATTATTTCTTTTATAGGTTTTTAGTATTTTAGCACCACAGCATTGCAATCACAAGACACTAGAAACAGAGCAAACAAACAAAAACACACACAACAGAAAAAAAGCATAGAAACAACAACAGAAAATTGAAATGGTTCAACAGAACAGATTATCCTGAGTCTTCCCAGTGCAAGACTGTTCCCTACGTTTAATGCTTCACTCAGTTGAGTTTTATTACTTATTATTTGTGATAAAAGTTCTTTATTCTAACTCTGTAGGAGACATTCCCCACCCACAAATGCCTTTCACTGGCAGTGCAATTTTTTTTTCACATTAATCAATCTTTTTTCCTCACTTTCATCCAATTACATCTAATTACGACTCTTTGTTCTAGGGAAGTAAATTATGTTTTGCCACTCCCTATGTCCCCTTACACCTTCTGAGTGTGTGAAGAAAGTTGTGTTCTTCCTGAGCAGTTTCCTAGTTAAGTTGAGAATATTCAACCTCTTTCATATTTATTCATTAGTATCTCTCTTTTCTTGATTGTTCTGTAGGCCTACATGGAACACTCCTCAGTTGTCTCCATATTTCTTATACTAAGATTCCTTAAGGTAAATGTAGCTCTTTAGGTTCAAATTTTACATGGCTATTCATCGGTAAGCGGGGTCTTATTCAAAATCCAATACCATAAATTTCTTCAAAAGTCTAAGTTCCTTTAAAAATTATTTTTGGTTCTAATACATATGTCCAATTATTTCTGCATTTTAAAACTCATTTTGTTTTCATCAACCAGGACACAGTGCAGAATCAAAAACACCACCTAACTCCTGAAGATTGCTCAATGAGATAGCTTATGTAAATTGCTTAGCACAGTGTATGGCCCATAGTAGCCATTTAATGAATACTACTTCTCTTCTTTATAGCCCATTTAAATTTTCCAGGCTTTCTGAGAGTTTTGACATATCATAATTATTTGTTTATTTATTGCTTGTTTTCATCAAATGCAGAATGGCATATTATTTACTTATTCAGTGAATTACACTTGCTGTTTTGGAGACATGTTAGAGAACTTCGTGACCTCTCCCACTTCTCTTCCCAAATGTGACTGACTTTTATTATTCATCAGTTCATAAAATTTCTCCTTTTTGGGGAGGTGATTTTAATTTATGTCATGTGACTTTTTTAAGGGATAGTCCTAGTATGATTACTACATTGTGATATATGATTTTTTTCTATCCCTTTCACTTCTCAACTCTCTGGTTGTACATCCTGGATTTTTTAAAAGCTGAGATTAAAGTTTCCCAACTATTATTGCCAAGTGACTGGTTCTATTTAAAGTTTGCTTCTCAAAAACAGTTACTTCATATTGATTCTATGCTGAAATCATTGCTTTCAGCATAAAACGAGGTTGTCTATGTTGTTTATACAATGTAAAACGGATTCGTGTGGCTTTGTTGAAACTATAATTTGAAAGAAAAGCCCACTAACCCGCTATAAGGAAGATACTTTAATGACCCTTGGGACACAATCCTTTCCTGATATGGACTGGAACATAGGTACATCAGTGAAAAGTGGAAAGCACTGTGGCTTTACCTAAATGTGTCATTGTGGTGAGGTACTCTGAATTTAATTAACTTCAAAATTTTACTTCTGGGACAATTTGAAGGGAAAGAATAACCATCCTAAAGGTAGAATGAAATAATTATTAAATAGAGGTACAAACAAGCAGAGAAACACAGAGATTCTTCTTGGGAGCATGATAACAAGGTGATATTTGAATAGACTGTGAAGGATGGAAAGGTAGTCTGCAGCAAGATAGTCACCCACTCTAGGCACTGTGTCTCCATCAGCTGAGCAGTTTTCACCCAAGATAGAAAGAAGAAAAGGAAAAAATAAAAGAGAGAGATTTGGATGGATGATAGAGCTCTTTACAAAGATAGCCGGCTAGGCAGGGCAACGGTAACCAAGTAATAAAATGGTATCTTGGTAAACACTTCGTTTAGGTTTTGGGGCAGAAGGACCAAGTTTATTTTTATTCATTCTCTGCTGAAAGGCAATTGACTACATTTATTTTGGCCCACCAGGGAGGAAGGAAGGGCATGTCAGTTTTTCAAGAAGTTGTTTACTTTGACAGGGAATAAATCCTGGTTTCTTTTCCATTTGCTGATTTTTCTTTAAATATGGAGAGAAACTATGCAATAGTTAAAAATATGTCACAACATAAAAGTCAATAAACTTATTGTAAAGGAACTAACTGGCTGTTTCCTAAAAAAAAAGAGCTAATTTTGTTCTATAAAGTGTTTCTTCAAACATCATTTCAACCATGTGTTCTATTAAAGCCTGAGAAATTTTCTGTAGAGAAGTGTCATGGAATAGCTAGCTGTCAGTATTCCACACCCAATTTCCCATGCATCTAACATTTAAGATATTCTTTGGTGTCAAAACGGGGTTGGGGGGAAAATGGAGCTTCATGAAGAACTATAGTCAATGATTATTTAATCCAACACAATAACATACCTATAGCAGTTTAGTGCTATGTTCTGAAGTGTGTGAATGCAGAAGTAAAAATAAATTGTCAGTGTAATGGTAAGCTAATTTTATTATAAATTCCAGTCTCATTACACAATAATGCACTTTAAAATATGAGGCATTTATGGTAAATCAATTTATATACTACGAATGAGAGGGAGTTCTCTGAATGAAATTGCTAGGTATTTATTTTGAAACTGTTACATGAAAAACAGACATCTTAGAATTCTGCCAGAAATTTTTTTCTTTTTGAGAAAAGCAGAGGTTCTAAGTTAGACATTCTCCAGTGGAAAAGATAAGTGACATGAAAGCTTATGAGCATTTATATCTATCATTGAGTCAGGAAAAATGTCTAGCCAGAGTTTTAGTAATCCTTTAGGATTTTCTGTCAGAGATATGGCTAAATCAGTGAGTAGATTAAGTTATAGATGATTATTAGTTCAAAATCTTTCATCCAAGGATGGAAGTGAGTAGAGCTCACACTAGAAACAATGGTATATATAATGGTTCTCAAATGCTGGCCAGGTGACCAAAAGGCTGAATCAGAATCACCAATGATGTTTTTTAGAAAAAAAATACAGATTTCTGCCCTCAGTTTCTGTTGGAGATTCTGATTCAGAAGATCTAGGGAAGGACTCTGAGAATTCATATTTTCAGTAAGTGCTCCAAGTGATTCTGATCCATTGACAGGTTTGGGAACTAATGACTAGATTGGAGCAGTGCTTGAGATCAGAGAAAGAGTCAAGACTTCATTCAAAGGAGAAAAACCATTCCACTTGTGGTGTAGAGTCTGAGTCTATCTGAGTTCATGATTTGAAAAATGAGCTGATAGCTTGAAATTGGGGGGAATACTTAAACCATAGAAATTGGCCAATGCTACAAATCAGGGCATTTCCCCTCTCTAGAAAGCTAGCACACTACTTTCAGTGGGGTTATTCTCACATTTTTTTTTTCAAAGATTTTATTTATCCATTTGAGACACACACACACACAGAGAGAGAGCATGAGCAGG